CCAGTGGACGACCGCGATTACCTAAAAACCTACGCCTAACCTCAGCATTGCTCGTCCGGTTTCCCACCAGTCTCGTGCAATGCTACGTTGACAGCGGTGTTCCAACAAAGACAGTCTATTTTATCCTGTTCCGGTAATTACCAAGTCTCTGCACCGTAAAATAGAACTCACCGAACTGCTGCAGCATACACTCCACCCTTTTTTGACCGGTAAACTACCCCTCACCGTGTTCATTTACTGAAGTGACCTCTCCAGGGGCGGGTGTGGATAGAAAAGGAAGCCAGGTACCCAAGCAGCTGGCCTTGTGGGAGTGATCTTTGTCTGGCTTCTATCCATTGAACTTTCAGGCATGATTGGATCTGTGGCTGAGGAGCTATCCTGTATAGCCCGCAGGGTCACTGAGGCGCACACGTCATAACACCACGCCAAGGTGCAGTCTCGTCGTGATTGCGCCTGTTAGATGTTCCCACGGGGCTTGACAATTCACTGGTGTCAAAGGTGGTGGTGGTGCGGTGGTTTAGTCGCAGTCCTCTGCGTGCTTTGGACCCCATGGTCCGAGGTTCGAGTCCCGCCACCGCCACCCAACTTTGGTGGTGGGCAGCTCTGCTATTGTCCGGTTCAATACTACGCCTAACCTAGCGGGGCCTTATGTGGTTCGTCACTCCAATCACCATCACTGAACAGCAGGTCTTCGTGACTATGTGGTTCGCCCCGTCTGCTGTTCAACACACTTAGGTGTGTAATAAAAAAATTAGCCAAAAGCCGACATCACTACGTTTCTACCAGTTGTTGCCAAATGTATGAAACTGATTTAGTTTGGCTAGTTTCATATTCAGGCGATTGTCGCCTGAAATAGATGCAGCGCAATCGGATAATTAGGGTGTGTGGGGGGGACAGAGAGGTTTAGGTAGAGTCAATGATCCATGCAAAGTAAAATTCACATCTTGTTAACTTACTTCAGCGCCAATGCTGGATCCTTCTTCAGCTCTCCAAAGAACGCTATTTTAAATTCATGACGCACAAACAAAAGCTGAAATCGTAAATTGAAGGTATATATACCATTTGTAGTTCAAAATTTGCAATAAATTACAGACACGCGAATACAATAGAATGAGGAAGCACGAGCGATTTACCTGATGACTCGCCTTATTCAATGTATCTTTGTGACTTTTCACGTTCTTCGCACGGGCGTGGTAATAGTTTGAAGCCATGTCATGAAATTCTCCTTCTAATCTAAAATTAACAAGAAAACCAAAACACTCTGATTAGATAGAGATGGGGTCCTGTAAAAGGGAACAAAACTCGTTTGCTGAAGACTAACCAGCGTTGCAAAGTTGATTTAGCTCCGCAAATTCTGAACATAATTCACGTGGGGAGATTACGACAGACTGGATAATGGGACAATCATTGAAATAATGCGCTGGTATTCAGTTAAGGCCGGAGGTCTGAATGTCCGATTTAAGATACGCAGATGAGTTAGCAATTTTGGGAAGAACCCAGAAGACTTGCGTCCTATATTTGACTACATAGTTCATCGTTAAAAGATATCAGGGTAAGAATTCATACATTAAAGAAAAAGATGTTTGTAATCTCCATCCAAAACGATTAAATTCAGAATCTGACAGTTAATTGCGGAACAATCAAACGCATCACACCTTTGAAATAGCAACGATACTAGCCACAGATCTCATTTAAGAATAAAATCTATTCTATACGTACAGAACGTAAAAGAGGCCCCTCGAGGTAATTTAGGCACTAGAAGTAAGCTACGGAAGAAACCGCTTGTCCTTAATGCCGCTGAAATCCACCCAGTGATAACATACGGGAGCTAAACCTTGTCCCTGTTCATGTAGGACGCTAGAAGACGGGGAGCGTTCGATGAACACTGCTTTTGAGGAGTAATGGAAATAACAAGGAAACCGAATACCAAACGGTAAGGTTCACGTGAACTGCTTTAAAATGCTCCAGATGATATCGATGTCTGCAGTGGTTTGGTCACGTTCTACGTCATNGGATGCTGAACGCCTAGCACTTTGTCGAATATACACTTGATCGACTTGGAGCCAAAATCTGATCGTCATCTGTTCAAACTTCACTGCTGATGGGTCAAGTTTCGGCGCCGTAGAACTCGCCGAACTGTTGCAACATACACTCCACCCATTACAAGCAACCGGATGGAGCGACGGCGCCTCAGATGTCTCAAGTTGGCAAATGCCAACCAAGCCTTCTGTATGCAAGCTGACACTTCAACCGTGATGCGTCCACCGGGTGAAATGTAGCTGCCCAAATAACAAAACTTATCCACCTGCTCTATTACTTCCCCAGTTAGAGTGAGGCTGGGTGCTGGATCAACCCAGTCTTATAGTAACATTTTACACTTTGAAGATGCAAAACGTATACCGAACACGGCTATACTAGCATTCAAGATGTCCAGAAAAGCTTACCACTTACCTGGATCTTCACTTAGTGGCACAATGTCGTCTGCGTACTCGAGATCAGATAGTCTGCCACCTGGGAGTAAATCGATGCTACTATTCGCGCACGAGGATAGGGCTATTTCAAGAATTAAATCTATAATAAAGTTAAATAGAAATGGAGAGAGAGAGGGCAACTCTGCCGAACACCACTTTCCGTGGTGAACTCGGATGAAAAAGTGCCGTAAGCTCGGACTCGGCTTCGGCTATTAGTATACAGCGATCGTAATATTGAAATCAACTTCTCGGGCACACCTTTCAGGGAAAGGCAGCGCCAGAGTCTAGAGCGGTCGACTGAGTCGAAAGCCGCTCTCAGATCTAGGAAGACAGAGATGGTGGGTCTACGAAAAGAGTGCCGGTGCTCCAGAATTTGGCGCAGAGTGAAGAGGTGGTCGATACAACCTCGACCGGGTCTAGAACCAGCCTGGTTATCACGCGTCCCCGTTCACGTGTGGCAGACAATCGGCGGAGTATGATGCCAGCGAGAAGTTTAGAGACGATGTTGATTAAACTAATTCCTCTGCGGTTTTCACAGGGGGATCTGTCACCTTTCTTGTAAATCGGTATGATCACCGACTCACACCATTCAGCTGGAATGGGGACAGCCCGCCGGGGCCGGAAGCCTTTTGAGATAGCTTATTTCTCGGGAAACCTTCATTTCAGATGAAGGACTGACACCAGCTGGGAGTAGTTCCCCAGTCTAGTTGGAAGGTGGTAGTTTAGATGTCGATGGGGGCCAGTTGAACTGAGCCTTGAACTGTTCAGCCCAACGGTCAAGATGGCGTTGATGATCGTGAATCAGCGTGCCATCGGACTCTTTGATTACCTCGCTGACACCTATTTTGCTAGGGCCCGTATTCCTAGTTAGACGGAGAAGATTGCGACTATAACCAATAGCCGCAGCTTTCTCATCTTTCTACGCCTTTCTATCCACCACTTCTCGCAGTCATTCCTCAGACTCTTGATGAGCTGACGTTTGAGGGATTTGCGCGCGGTGCCATATGTGGCATCCGGAGGGAGGGTTCTGTGGGCGTCCAGCAGGGCAGCTGAGGTCGATGACATCCATCGTGTGTTTCAAACTTGCGGCAGGGTTCGACGTTGTTTTATCGGTATTTGCATAGCTTCTTTGATTTGCTTCCAGTGTTCATTGAGTCCTTCAGCTGGTGATTGAACTGATAAGCGATCGGACAGTTCCGCTTCGAAGGCCGATTTGCAGCGATCGCTGACGCAGTATCAACGGCATCCGTTGTCGGTGGTTTTTTTGCGGTTGTTTGCCAGGCGTAAGGAAAATTCGGCTCGTAGCAAAGCATGATCCGTATCCGCAGGTGTGGACCAGTAAGAGCGGCAGTTTGGAATCGACACCCTCCAGCGGTAACTGATGGCGATGTGGTCAATTTGGGTCAAGCGGAGTGAAGAGGTTGGCGGTTTTCATGTAAGGTGTTATAGTTTCTTGTGCGAGAAGTTTGTACTTGACAGGAACAATCTGCGGTCCGCGCAGAGTTGAAGTAGACGATTTCCGTTGTCCGTCCGGTTGGCTGGGATTGCATTCGGTCCACCAAGAAGCATTTCTGATTCGTTCAGGGATCCCACTTGAGCACTGAAGTCCCCGGCGGCTACTACGATGTCCGTTGATTGAACACTTAGGAGTAATTCAGAAAGATCCTTGTAGAATTCATTCTTGATTTCAGGTGTAGGTCGGTGCATACGCCGATACGACGAATAAGCATCGACGCTTCATTCTGTAGCTGTTGACACGTGCTGAACCGTTGAGACGTACAGCGCACAGTCGGCTACTGACTGGAATCCAGTTAGGAAGCGAGCGTTCAGCCTTGTCACTTAGCGCAATCCCAACACCCGCAGCACCGCGAGCCTAGGATGTCGAATCGCCTGACACACGCAGAGTGAAACGTGAGGTCGAGGTTGGGTTAGGAAAATGCAGGGAGACGATTGAAGTAGGATCTGCTATGCGTGTTTCGGAGACAGCATACATCTAGATTGAAAGTTTCAAGGGTTCTAGCCAAGACAGCTTGTTGACCAATCTGATAGTGTGCGGACATTGAACGCGGCTAAGTGAAAAGGGAATTTTGGCTTCAAAAATCCTGTAGCTTATGGTTGTTCGGCCTTGTTGATATTCGTGATATTCGATAGGTGGTGTAAACAGGCGTCTGGAATTATTTGGGAATGAGAGGAAGAACCAGATAGATCGGAAAGAGGTTTTTCCAAATGGGTGCCTAAGACTTTAGGGTACGACATACTTCGCGGTAGCCCGTACCGACGAAGGGGTTCTTCTTTGGGAACCTTAACCGGAGCCTTCGACTCAAAAGTCTGAACCACAAGGCAGTGGGGCTTGACCAAATGAGAGCTTTGGTTACACTTGAGTGACCGCGAGAGTATACTCAACCAATCATTGAACAGAACAGAGAAACACCACAATAGGTTTTAGTCACTGAATACATTCTCACCTTGTGATACAACCGTAAAGCAAATTCGTATGTGAAAGGACGAACAAGTTTTTCCCGGGTAGTTCACATTTAGTGCATAATGCTTGCGCGCGTTCCATGGCATTCAAGTCTTCACCCAGTGGTAGTGGAGCTCGCTTTTGTATTAGAACTAAAACCAATTTGGAATCACGGCCAGCAAGCTTTGAGCTGGGAGAGGGTTAGCATATTTCAGGCATCTTACCGAACTGTTTCAAGGCGCTGAGCGCATTCGGTCGATTTTTCATCCCATTGTCGTTCGTCCCAGTCAAGGTCGTAGAATACGGCAACCACTGCCGGAATTTCCTCTAGATGTTTTCGCATCCAACCCGTTTTTAATATTCCTTTGGGAAGAAACCATTCATAAGCTGCTGAAGGCTATGGGTAAAAGACGAAAAACATTGAGACAATGTCACTATCTCGATATGGCCGAAGGCAAGCCGATCAAGGCTATAGCCATCTACACTAACATAACAACAGTTAAATACGAATTAAATATATAATGTATGTAAATTAGACATTGAAAAAATCGTTCATTTTGCGGAGCGATCAGATTAACCAAGTTTACAGTTTTGAGTTTACGTAATACGAAATTCAATCGCTTTTAACAAATTGTTACTAGCCATGTGTAGTATTACAGTTGAGTCTAACTACCTAAGTGCCAACAAGAAGCACCTCAAAATATCAAATATAACACAGGAAGTAAAACGTGTTATCGCGACAGTTCACTACTGGACGAAATCTTGATAACCAAACTAGAGAAAATTTGAAATCGAAACTGAAAAGCAGGAAGCTAAAATTCTAAGGGGGAGACCTCAATTATGTATCTGACATAACTACAAAGAAAATTATTCCACTAACATTATTCGGACGATTAAAATTTCTTTCAGATCGATTACATTCAACCTAGAAACAGCTAGAAATAATAGTTTTGTACTGGTAATCTATCTTTATTCAGTTCCCGTAATGGTCAAGTCTCGGCACCGTAAACCAGGACTGACAGCCCTGCTGCAGCATGCACTCGACCTCTCACAGACAGCCGAATGTTGCGATAGTTGTGTACTGACTGTTCCTGAGATTGCCACCGCACCGGTTGAATACGCTGTCTGACCAATGAGAACGTCGGACCGTCCGGTCGAATATACTGACTGATCATTTCGGCCCGGAGGCTAACCCAGTTGCGGCTTTTTTCTTTTGGCTAGTTTCGTCAAAAATATGAATTTTTCGACCGGATTTTTTGGAATTTAACCCTCCTGCGTCATGACGTATCGAGTTTGCAAATGCCAATTGAGACTTTTTTATGCGTGCCGACACTTCATTCGTGATACGTCCCCCAGGTGATATAAAACTGGCAAAATATCACACATCCGATTGAATAGAGACAATGTATTGGTCACCCACTGTTGTAGCAACATTTGACTATACTAGCGCAAAACCTATTCAGAAAAGCTTGCAACTTACCTGGATCTTCACTTAACAGCATATTGTTGTCCGCATACCCCAGTACAGAGTTTTCTACCTGGAAGCAAATCGGTGCCACTATCCTCCCGTGAGGATCGGGCTGTTTCAATAATCAGATATATTAGAAAGTTTGATAAAAAATGAGGGCAACCCCAATGAACACTGTTTTTCGTGGTGAACTCGGGAGGAAAAGTTTCGCAAACTCGGACTCGGCTATTGGTATAAAAGATGGTAATGTTGAAACAAACCTTTCGGTGGTATCCTTCAGGAAGATCATATTGTTATAGTGTTCAACAGAGTTGAAAGACGTTTTCAGACCGATAAAAATAGAACTGGTAAGTCTAAGAAAGGAATGTCTATGTTTCAGAGCCTGATGAAGAGTGAAAATGTAGTGTATACAACCTCGATCAGGTTTTAACTTAGCTTCGTTCTCATGCATCCACTGTTCACGTGCGACAGATAATAGACGGAGTATAATGCCTCCGAGAAGTTTGAAGACAATTTTGATCAAACTAATTCATCTGTGGTTTTCACTAGATGACTTATCCCTTTTTTACCCGGTAAGATGATCGACTCACATTACTTATTTAGAACCTGTCACCTGTTCCACATTGAACCCAGGAGTTTCATCGACTATGAAAACCAAGACTGAGGTGACACATCTAGCGTTCTAAACCACCCATAACTGTCAATGAAGCAGCTGTATGACCCAGGTAGCACAGCGTGGCGCATCGATCATAATTTTTTTCGGTCTTAAGACTCATTTATATTCTTAATTCTATCAAACAAGTTTTACTTTTGGAGTCTTAATTTCGTGGTTTTCGTTTTAATTGCTGGAGAGAAATGATAATTTGACTGACGCTCTTATTTTTCTGGATTATCTTTAGATGCTGATATGTAGAAATCCACGATCGCTAAAATCCGACGGGTGGTAAGTGTATTTTGTGATATGTTAATCAATTTTGTATTGATATGTTTTCATGTTATATCTGAGAAAAATTCGAATTATCATGCGGAAACCACATAATTTGTACAAGTATTTTACTGTCGTAAAGTGTTGTCTGTACCTCTTTGGATATTTTATTGCATAATAAAATAACAAATACAAACGTTTAGGTGTCCTGCTCCGTCATGTCAAGTCTTTATGAACGCGTCTAAGATCACATGTTAACTAAATTACGAAAAGTATTTCACTCGTAATTTATTTTCTTAAAGTACTAAACATTTCTTTTTTTTCGAGTGATGAACAGCAGACGGGGTAAAGCCCATAGTCACGAGGACCTGCTGTTCAGTGATGGAAACCGGTAACCTAAGCCCCGGGAGTTGAAGGGGTGAACCGCATAATGCCCCGATGGGAAGACAGCCCCGTTAGCGTGATTCCATTCATGCAAATAACTTTAAATGTACATTTAACGCCCGGGTGTCCATAGAACTTGCAAGATGCAGTATTAGTCGTGCGCACAACCGCTGGTAAGTGTGGTTGGTTTCATTCAACATTTTGTACCACTGGTAGCGGAAGAAAGTATCTTGGAACAAAGAACAACGCATTAAACATGTGATTAGACGATGTTTCATGAAAATACATGAGCATGTCTGGCGTATGTGTGGTTGAAAGCGCTTTCAAAGTATTTTTCAGAGCTTCCTGCAATCCAGGGACATTTTGGGGTACGCCAAGTTGAACACGGATTACACTTGGAGTTTGTTCGTTTGGACTGGCCTCCTATTGCGCTAAGTTTTATCCAAAAGGTGTAGGCTTCTGCTTCCTACATAGCTTTTGGGTTGGGAAGGAGAGATTTGGCTCACAGTGAAACGTTTACTCTCCGCAGGGCTACTTGACTCATTAGCTACACTAGTGAATTACACGGGAAAACATGAACAAATACAAGCTCCCGGTCGTTCGTTTCCTTGGTTATCTTGGTAAATGACTACAATAAGATGTGCAAGATAAGATGTCTTTGGACTAACCCCAGATATGCCGACGTTCCAATAAATTGTATTGACTAAAAATATTGAGTTGGTTTAGAAGTACGGCGAAAAAAATTGCCGCCCGACAATTCCGACAAATGAAAAAACGGAATATTCTAAAATGTAGCTGTTTGTAGCCGGTTAATGGTACGCTACTAGCCGTCGACGTGCACTTCATAAAAAGGTCGTGGTGTTGTTGAAAATGATACTGCAAAAAATAAAACACCGTATAACAGAAAATGGGAATAAAGATTGGCGGATTATTCCTTTACCGACTTGGTTTACCTAAGGTGATTTCAGCTAGATTTACCAGCAATGGGGCACACTGGAACTTTATAGTAATAAAACTATTACCTTTGCTTTGGGCCTGGGGAATTGATGGTCGATCGGACGGCAGCGAAACTTGAAAGTTTCCCTCTCCCGGCTATGTCCAGAAGTAAATGCCTTCCATATAGATTTATGCACTGAATTTTTTTCTATATCAAGACCCGACAGAACAATCAGCGGCTCTGGCTTAACACACAATTCCTCCGGCAGTTTCTCAATGTGCTGCATTTTGTGAGATGCCTTGCTCGTGTGTGCACCAGGACGTCCCCCGTGAACGGATACACCACACAACCGCAGGTGTGCCGAGTACTCTAGGTGTGAGCTGGGACCGTAGACAGACAGGAAGTTCTCCTTGGAGAGGGCGAACTGACAATCTGAAAGAGAGGCAAATGCAGACACCATGAACCAAAGGGTTCAGCGA